TTCCAAGCTAATCGATTCACCCCTCGAAACATAGGAAAATCCATTAACCCCTCATTTTATCTGTCAAACTTTCATAGCGAATCGAAACAATCATTGTGTAGTAGTAGAATTTCGACTAGAATGGGGTACGTTAATCGTTTGCTTGGGACCAATAGGCTAGTCAAGTAGTGAGCCAATTTAAAATCGTTAGTTTCGTATTGATTGTTGATAATATTAAGTTTCAAGATGGCGTCAGACATCGATTTCCGGACTCTTGACGTCATCCCGATTCCTAAAATACCCATATTGAAAAGCGTAACATACTGACAGTAATGCCAAGTTTTTCTATAATCGGAAGCCACCATCTTTGATGTCAAGATGGCGTCAGGCATTGATTTCCGCCCTCTAGACGTCACCCTGATTCCGCAAATACCCATACTGAAGGATATTTGACAGTATTTTCGAGTTTTTTTTTATAACCGGAAGCCGCCATGTTGAATTTCAAGATGGTGTCGGTCATTATTTCCGGTCTCTTTGAGTCACGCCGAATATGGAAATATTCACACTGCATAATACTTTATTTGAATTCCCAGTTTTTCTATATTCAAAAACCGTAATTTCGACTTGACATTGCATGAATTTATTCATCAAATACAAATTTTGTTTAATTAACTGCCATCACTGGATCTGTTCTTGAGTTCAGAACATCATCACAGAACAGAAGGGGAACTTCGGATCAGAAACTGGCTCCATTTTTCATAGGCGAAAACTAGCGCACCTAGCGGTAGAAGGCACCTTCTGCCTTCCTATCAAGCGATCAGTTAAAATAGGCAGCATGCTATGATAGTGTGAGTGTGCATAGAAAGCCCTGTGGAACGCTACCACAACGCATCGCTTGTTGAGCAGAAAAACGTACCACTTTTTGATTCACCGATTTGTTTGCACTTCCCCTTCTGTTCTGTGACATCATCCTTGTGAACACGAAACCTCGCACGAAACCCGGGTACTCGAAAACCAGTGCGCACCGTGTACAGCGGCTTTGCTTGCAACAACAAAACCGAACCGACACCAATAGCATAGAGGTAACTCTAAAGGCCGGCGCACAATAGATACGTTTTCGGGTTTTTTGACAGATAATGTATGGGCTAGCTGTCAAAAAACCCGAAAACGTATCTATTGTGCGCCGGCCTTAAGACCAGAAGGTCCCGAAGAAACGTGTTCAACTTTTTGGCTCAGCTGTGGTACTCTTTTCGGTCCCAAGCTAATCGATTCACCCCTCGAAACATAGGAAAACGAGGGGCACGCAATAACCTTTAACTCCTACGCAAGCCTTTTTTAAGTACAATAATTACAGTTAACTACATGGTTAATTACTTTAATTACGAGCGTCGGAAATTTTTTGATTTAATTACTTTTAAGTACAAATTTTAGCTTTAATTACAAGTCGCATAAATTAAGTACATTAACTCCATTAATGTACAGCGAGAAATGTACTTAAATTACCCCCATCGTACCGTTAGACCTTTTCGTTATAGGCCCGTGAAACAAAAATTTCACAGGCCCTTTTGCTACGTTAAGGATAATGTCAGCTCTGATAGATTGTATCGCTACCGCTATTATGACTTTAGCATAGACCCTATAAACATACATCTCCCGGGGCATACGAGGAAATCTACGTTGATGATTGGTGCCGATTCATAAGCAACGATCGGTTCGTGATTTTAAATGTAGTCGGATTTCAATACTGCCGAGGTGTTGGCAGGGCAAAAACCTATACCCTGGATCAGGCCCCTGTCAAAGCACCGGAGAATGCAACAGTGAAAGGAATGTTTGTTTGTGCTAACTGAGAACCTAAGAAATAACGAATTTAATTTGGTGGATTTGAACGAGAACAGATTTACAATAGAAAATTATGTTAAGCACGTTTTACCTCTTTGTATTTAACCCCAAAATGTATGGTTAAGGCTAGGGTTAAGGGGAAGTTTACCACCCCGAAAATATAGTTTTTTTCGAAACGGTTTTCGTGGGAAAAATTATCAATAATTCGATTAGTTTTTTCTTAGATTGTTAACAAAATTTACATGTAAAAATATTATTTATTTCTCCACGCATACGAATTTTGTTCATTCAAATTAAAAATAAATCTGTTTGTACTCTAAACATATGAATGATTCAACGTAAATTGAAAACATGTTTATAACTAAAATATGTATTTTGAATTAAATTTAAAAGCATGTTTTTTCAGCAATATAGAAATCAATTGTATTTGAAAGCATCAGTCACCGATGTGTCTGTATTTGACTGGCGATGATCGGTTTCTGTACTTGGTACCTGATCAAGCGGGAACGGTGACGAAGGCGCAGAAGGCGGTAGTTCTTTCGCTGGCCATTTCGCAGGATCAGAAGTTTTTTTTAGGCCGATAAGGGGCTGTTTATAAACTACATACACATTTTTTTTTTGGATTATTGACCCCCCCACCCCCTGCATAGCCAATTGTCCATACAAAATTTTTAAAATTTGTATGAGCCGTGCAATTGTCAACACAACCCCCCTCCTCCTAACATGTTTACGTAGTTTATGAACAGACCCTAAGAGAAGGAGCTGAACGGACACTGGAGCTGGTGAATACTTTGGACATTCACACACTGCGCTACTTCCGGGAAAAAAAATCGCAGCTAGTACGCAATTGCCTTCCCAGCACTTGAGTGTGTCAAGTTGATCGGTAACGATCATTTCGTGTCCTGTGCACATGGGACTCATCGTTTCCTTTTGGTTTGGAGTTCTGCCGAAAGTATTGTTTAGTTGGAAAGACGAATAATGGGGAGGCGAATTTCATAAGTGCTATCGCGTCAATTCTGAATACGGCTGTGATCATATGATTGCGATAATACAAATAAAAGCACACAATTGGTTTGAATCATCTTAGTGTATGCAACCAAATCCAGATTATAATTTTTTTTGTTAATGAACTCTGCCTTAAATCTGTTCATTTTTATTAGTATAATAACATTAAGTTTGAAAGAAATATTGACATAATCGAAGAATTCACGCATAACATCAGAAAATTAATGCAAATGCAAATACATCTTCCATTGAACCTGTTAATTCAGGCACAAGCTAATATCATCATCTGTCGAACTGTGCTGCGAGTATGGCTTAAAATTCGAACATTTTTTGATCGGGAGGAAATTTGCTCGAGGAATTGCTTGAATTTAAGGAAATGTAAAATTGTCGTCACAACTAAGTGATTCCCATTTCATTTGTACGGCATCACGGCCCTCATTATGAGTATCACTTCCTTTTCACTGTATATTTTCGCTAGAGTTGTAAACCGATATAACCCACTCGTGACAATCGATTTTATTCTACACGAAACGAAAATCAATTATTTAATTCATGTGTTTCACTTACACATTTTTGCCAAAGCATCAGCCTTATACATTCCATAAAACAAACCACATAGGTCCTATTAGAATGCATGAAAGGTATGTGTGACCGCTTATACATTTCATTTGACACATGATCTTTATTAACTTTTTGCAAGGCGTCTGCTTATTAGTTGACTTATACATTTTATGAATAATCAGCAATGGAAATTTGCCAAAAGGTATAAGGAGATTTCTATCCGTGTAGTTCTGCATTAAAGCGCATTATTCAACGAATGCAGTGCACTAGATACGACATTATGTTGAACGTACAAAACGAGAGGGAAATCGATTGTCGCGAGTGAAGTATTTCAGTTTCCAACTCTAGCATGGTGCTCCAAGAAACTTAGTATAAGTATTGGTCATGTTTGTAGTCTAGTAAAACATTAATGGGCGTATTTCGGGGAGTAAGAATAGTTTTTGAATAAATTGATTCATTCGAGTATGTGTTAAGGGTTTTCTGCATTTTTTTTAAATAGTTCAAGAATAAGGATTTGGGTACGTTTTTAATTACATTTGTGTAACTTTAATTACATTAATTACAGAAAATATTTTTATTTTTATTATATTTTACATTAATTACGTAATCAAATTGAAGTACGTGTTTTAATTACAGTAATTACACTGGCACTGCTTTGATTACGCGAAATTAAATTTAATTACATGAAATACTTAATTTTCAAATTTAATTACTTAATTACATAGTTGAACACCTTGTACTTTAAATCCAACGCAGTCAAAAAGGCTATTGCGTGCCCCTCGTAGGAAAATCCACTAACCCCTCATTTTATCTGTCAAACTTTCATAGCGAATCAAAACAAACATTGTGTAGTAGTAGAATTTCGACTAGAATGGGGTACGTTAATCGTTTGCTTGGGACCAATAGGCTAGTCAAGTAGTGAGCCAATTTAAAATCGTTAGTTTCGTATTGATTGTTGCTATCACCATCTAAAGTGAAACCTACACGATTACTTTTGTTAACAATAATCGTACTGTCAATACATTCTATATTGACGTCAATACATCGGTATTGACAATAATTCTGTATTCCCATCATCAATATTATTGTCAATTATTGCCCTTCACGTCAATATATTGATGCGTGTGGGGTTTGCTTTAAGCGCCAAATCCCACACGCATCAATATATTGACGCGAAGGGGAATAATTGACAATAATATTGATGATGTGAATACAGAATTATTGTCAATACCGATGTATTGACGTCAATATAGAATGTATTGACAATACGATTATTGTCAATAAAAGCAAACGTGTAGGGTCCGCTTTAAAGATAATAAGTAGACAATTCTAGATCTTAGCAAAAACTAGGCTCAGTAAGTCAACGATGCCTATCATCCTCCTATCAAGCGATCGACAAAGCTAATTCAAAGATCTATGAATTAATATTCAGAAAAGTATATATTTTTTTCAAGTCAGGCCTCTTGAATTATTGTTTTCTGTTCTTATTTTTTTTATTATGTGTAGACAAAAATCTCCCCAACTGTCAACAAATACTGAGCAAATTTTGCATTGTTTCTTGACTCAGGGATTTAAATAAAAATCTCTTTAGAAAAGATTTGTTTATCAGCAAAATAACCATGGTTGAAATCTCATAAATTTAATGTATGCTCGTTTATCTACTATACATGTGCTCGATCTCAGAGAGACAAAAATCAATGTTTGATACCCAAAACTAGTAATATAGTCCTAATTCTTATGACCTTTTCAAGCCGCTTATAGACTATCCATGATTGACGGACGCTCCTCTATGCTACCATATTGGACAGGATCCAGTCAATCTGTTGGAAAACATTCGTATAGAACCCGGGTTTGTTTGTTCCACAGGACAGTCCCTTGCTGACGACACCTTTCAGGAAAAACCGATCTACCCCCGCATCCGTCGTCTGAATTTCCATCAGCGGACCACCGGAATCGCCCTGGCAGGCATCCTTCCCGCTTCCACCCAGCGCACAGATTATCGTTTCGTCAATCTTGATCAGCGGAGCATTGATCTTCGTTCGACACTGCTTCAAGTCCACATTGGAAACATCCACGAACAGTTTCTTGCTGCTGACTGTGCCATTTTCGGTCATTCCCCAGCCGGCCACGTACATCGGCTTCTCGTACTGAAGGGCTGCTTCCGCTTCCGTTTTCGGCAGACATATCGGTGCTATATACTTCCCGAAGGTAATTTCCTGATCCAGACGGAGCAACGCCAGATCTATCTTGCCTCCCCTGGAGATTCGGTGGGTGTAGTTTTTATGCATGACGATCCGTTCGATTCCGACGTCCACCACCGGAGGTGCACACTGATTGATGCCCTGTCTGGTGACACAATCCGGGTTGTTTTCCAAGTCCCACTCGCCAAGACGAACACCGGCTCTGTAATCGTGGCCTAGATGTTAGTGATCGATTGAGAAATACGTTCGAAAAAAAAGTGCATTACATCATATTGTTGATACAATGGGCTGCCGTCAGAACGTAGCGATCGTTGATAAGTGATCCTCCGCAGTTGAAGTTCTCGTTTTCATCTTAAAGAGAGACCATTGCGTTTCAATTAGTGTAGGTACTACAGTCAGCACACTGTGCGTTAATCAAACAAACCTTCATCGATGTACTTGATCAGTGCCAGCCAGGGATATTGGTCCAAATAGGTCAAGTTTCCGTGGAAAATCCTATCGGCACTGTCCAATCCACAAACGGAGTGATCCGGTAGCAGATCTTGGTATCCCTTATGTAACGGTTTTAGGTCTTCAAACGATCGTGGGATCGTAGGACGAGCTTTTCTTTTGCAGCAGACCAAATCTTCCTGCTCGTCGTCTTCACATTTGTCCTGCTCACGTCTCAGCCGAATTAGTAGACCGGAGGTTAGGCCCTCCGAAAGGGTTTCTCTAAATTCGTCACACTTATGTATCGAAACGCAGATACCCTCGTCGTAGTCTTCCGTTTCACAGGTCTTGGCCAGCGTTTGTGACGCGGTGGCAATGATTATTATGATCAGTAGGGGATTCTTAACTGTAGCCATCGTGTCGATCTCGCATGGACGATGTCCGAATAGTAACTGTCGATCGCTGCAGTAATCTCCATCCAGATAAGCAAAGCCGGTTACAACGGACGTGTTTATTGCAATATTTAATAGTGTTTAATATTATATAGCTTGAACCATAACTATTGATACGTATTATTATCACTTCTTCTATCGTTAAAAAAACTAACTAAGCTGTGCATAATGCGCATTCAAATGTTACCAATCAAATAATATTCTGGTAGGAATGTTTCAGGCTAAGATTTGCATTCATTCGAAGATTTGCAGTTGAAATCATCAGTCATCTTTCCTGGTAAGCATAGAGCAGCACCGAGCAGAAATGGCACTATCAGTACAATCGCTACTGATAGTGATACTCGCAACGGCGATCGCTCAAACAGTTGCTAAATCTTGCGAAACGGAAGACTACGAGGAAGGATCGTGTGTCCCGGTTCAAAAGTGCGACAAAATCGTCGAAATGATGGCCCGTGGTCTGTCCCCCGGGCAGCAGCGTTTGGTCGATCGTGAACAGGAGAAGTGTTCCGATGCCGAAGAGGACGGATCGATCTGTTGCCAGCGGAAGCAACGGCCCGAAATACCACGGTTCGTCGAAGATGTCAAGCCGATAGTCAAGGGCATTCACGATCTTCTGCCGGATCATAGCGTTTGCGGGTTGGACAGTGCCGATAGGATCTACCACGGGAACGAGACCTATTTGGATCAGTTTCCCTGGTTGGCGCTGATCAAATACATCGGTGAAGGTTTGTTGGTTATTTGAATCTGCCTGTGAGCAAATTTAAAGTGTTTTTCGTCTCTTCATACAGATGACAAGGAAAGTTTCAATTGCGGTGGTACGTTAATTAATAAGCGCTACGTTCTGACGGCCGCTCACTGCATAAAGAAAGAAGTGTAAGGGTTGGTTCCACGCTTATTGGAATGCTTTAATACGGAAAACTAAAATTACAGAGCCGGTGTGCGACTTGGGGAATGGGATCTAACTACGAATCCCGATTGCGTAACGAGACAAGACGTGGAGCAATGTGCTCCACCTGTACTGGACGTCGGGATCGAAAAGATCATAAGGCATAAAAAGTACAAATTTTCTTGGTACAAACCGAACAATATTGATTTGGCACTATTTCGACTGGATCAGGACGTAACCTTCGGAAAGTACATAGCCCCGATCTGTTTGCCTCGGTCGGAGCAGGAAGCTCAGCTTCAACAGGACAAACCGATGTACGTGGCTGGTTGGGGGAAGACCGAGACCGGCGAGACTAGTAAACGAAAATTGTTTGTGGATATTACAAATGTGAATTTGGACGAATGTCGAAAGCAGCACCCGTCTCCGATGATCAAATTCCACGATTCGATGATCTGTGCGCTGGGTACAGAAGGAAAAGATTCTTGCCAAGGTGATTCCGGTGGTCCGTTGATGGAGATTCAGAAGACTGCGGAAGGAGTTGATCGATACTTCCTGAAAGGAGTCGTCAGTGTGGGAGCCTCCTGTGGTACAACCAAGCCTGCGTTCTATATAGAGGTGTACAAGAACATTGATTGGATAGTTTCCAATATGGAACCGTAGATAGACGGTATTCCGAATGAAAATGTAATATGAATAATTACATTGACAATCGTATAATTTCATACCGCTTATAACGGACCATAATGTAGTAGTGGAAACGGATCTAATGTTGGCCTATGGATCGAAAGATATCCTGTTCTTAAATTTTTCGTAGAACAATGCGTCATATAGACAACACACATGGATATTTTTGGTTGTTAGTGAAACATTGTCAAAAAATGCTTTCCTTCGAAATTTATGTTACTTACCTAACTTTTCCTGGTCCGACGTGCCTCAAGATTGCACCTGCGCCAACTAACTCGGTTCGTGGCTGCTTGTCTACAATTTCTTGACCGTCCCACACTTCCTAGATCTTGCTCTTCTTTGTCTAACCACCTTGCTCGCTGTGCTCCTCTTTGTCTTGTACCGGCCGGATTCGAGGCAAACACCATTTTTGCGGGATTGTTGTCTGGTATTCTTACAACGTGTCCCGCCCATCGTATCGTTATACATAGAATTGGCCCAGCTCGTTATTCATCCTTCTGCAGGTCCTCCTCGAGTATCGTCCACTACCGGTCTTATCAGCGTCTTGTACATGGTACATTTAGTACGGGGGTGAAGTTTACCCGACCTCAGGGTCTTGGGGAGTCCGTAGTAAGCACGAATTTCTCTGCTGCAGTTGTTATCCGACGTCACCAACGATCCGAGGTACACAAATTCATCCACCACCTCGAACTCATCTCCGTCGATTGTCACGCTTCTGCCTATGCAAGCCCTATCGCGCTCGGTTTCTCTAGAGTCGGTGTATAATGAGTCACGCCAAGAGTGAAGCCAAGTCTACCTATTGAACCAAAGATGAATACTAAGATGAAACTGTCGGAAGAAAAACTTTCTATTTTAGTGTCCTCTTTCACGGTCCCTTTCATCCAATGAATACCCCCCGTATTCAAGGTAATTTTGTGGTTTTGCTGCCCCCTCGGTAGAGATGAATTTTTGCGCTCATTTTGATCAAAACAACACAAAAATCAGAGATGTCCCATTTTTTAATTACTCGATTAACAAATAATCGATTATTTTTTGTTCGCTGTGTTGCCATTTTTCCACCAATGAGAGTGCAGCACATGTTTGAAACGATCCGTGATGATCCTCTGGAGATGTTAATGCTTATATCGGCATGATATAACCGATTACAAATATTTTACTTTTCGGTTCGATAATCGATTAACACTCCGAATACGATGCCTCCGAAAAACGTGTAACGGTAAGTTTGCAATGGCACAACTTAGCCATTTCCTAATGAATTTAAAAAATGATGGTACCTTTAGAATTCCTAGGGTTTCTAGATGATTTTGATTGCAAAAAACTTGAAAATAGAGTCGTCTACTTTTTTAAAAAGTGAAAAGAGTTGTTACACGTTTTTTTGAAAGGTGTGTTTGTAGGGTTTTGCAAGTGGCGCAAGATCTGTAATTTAGATTAATGGGCACAAATGTTCACAATTAGCCAGAATACAGTCATGGTTCCTATATATGGATCCTGGAGACAACGGAACGGTCCTCGAAAAATCCGGAAAATCCGTAAAAATTGTCAATCCATGATCCTGATCCTAGAGCTCTGCGGTTTTTTGGAAAACATTAGGAACTGTGATATAAACAAATATTTGGGGTCGTGACATAAACATGTACCTGGATGGCCATGGGACCGTCCTCCGGAAGATCCGGAACATCCGTAAAAGTGGACAATCCATGAATCTGATCCTAGAGCTCTGTGTTTTTTTAACATTAGGATCTGTGATATAAGAATGAATTTGGGTCATGGACCCAGATGGCCATGGGAACGTCCTCCGGAAGATCCGGAACATCCGTAAAAGTAGGAAATCCACGATCTTGATCCTAGAGCTCCACTTTTTTTTTTAAACAATAGGAACTGTGATGATAGAAAGAATTTGGGCTTGTGACATAAACATGAACCTGGATGTGCATAGGACCGTCCTCCGGAAGATCCGGAACATCCGTAAAAGTGATCAATCCATGAAACTGATCCTAGAGCTACGCGTTTTTTTTTAACATTAGGATCTGTGATATAAGAATGAATTTGGGTCATGGACCCAGATGGCCATGGGACCGTCCTCCGGAAGATCCGGAACATCCGTAAAAGTAGTAAATCAACTCTCCTGATCCTAGAGCTCCGCGTTTTTTTTAAACATTAGGAACTGTGATAATAGAATAATTTGGGCTTGTGACATAAACATGAACCTGAATGTCCATAGGACCGTCCTCCGGAAGATCCGGAACATCCGTAAAGTGGTAAATCCACGATCCTGATCCTAGAGCTCCGTGGTTTTCTTGAAAACGTTAAGAACTGTGATGATAGAAAGAATTTAGGCTTGTGACATAAACATGAACCTGTATGTCCATGAGACCGTCCTCCGAAAGATCCGGAACATTCGTGAAAGTGGAAAATTAACGAAACTGATCCTAGAGCTCCGTGGTTTTCTTGAAAACGTTAGGAACTGTGATATTAGAATGATTTAGGGATCGTGACATAAACATGGACCCAGATGGCCATCGGAACGTCCTCCGGAAGATCCGAAAAATTCCGCAGTTTTTGAAAAAAACACTAAGAACTGAGATGATAGAATAAATTTGGGGTCGTGACCTAAACATGGACCTTGATGGCCATGAGACCGTCTTCTGGAAGATCCGGAACATACGTGAAAGTGGAAAATTCTCGAAACTGATCCGAGAGCTCCGTGGTTTTCCTGAAAACGTTAAGAACTGTGATATTAGAATGATTTTGGGATCGTGACATAAACATGGACCCAGATGGCCATAGGAACGTCCTCCGGAAGATCCGAAAAATCCTTATAAGTGGTCAATGTATGGAACTGATCCTAGAGCTCCACGGTTTTTTTTTTCGAATGCACTTGGAACTGTCATATATAAATTAATTTGCAGTCGTGACATAAACATGTACCCAGAAGGCCATGGGACCGTCCTCCGCAAGATCTAGAACATCTTTAAAAATGGTTAACCCTCGAAACTGATCCTAGAGTTCTACGGTTTTTTCGAAAGCATGTGGAACTGCGATATAAGAAATATTTTGGGGTCATGACATAAACATGGACCCAAATGGCCATGGGGCCATCCTCTGGTAAGTCCAGAACATCCGTAAAAGAGGTAAATCAATGAAACTGATCCTAGAGCTCCGCAGTTTTTTTTTTTTCCAAAAACATTAGGAACTGTGATATAAGAATGAATTTGTGATCGTGACTTAAACATGTACCTAGATAGCCATGGGACCGTCGTCCGGAAGATCAACAACATCCGTAAAATGGTCACTCCATAAAATTGAGAGGTGGAAGCATTACTATGACGAGCACCTCAACGGTGATGCAGCAGAAAACGAAGGTGGCATGACAACAGACCTTGGAGCACGTGCAGGAGACGACAGGCTATATGCCCCTGATCTTCAAGAAGTTGAGGAGGAGATCGGTCGACTGAAGAACAACAAAGCAACTGGTGTAGGTCAACAGCCAAGTGAGCTATTAAAATACGGTGGTGAAGCACTGGCTAGAGCGCTGCACTGGGTAATTGCCAAGATTTGGGAGGAAGGGATATTACCGGAGGAGTGAAGCAAGGTGTTGTATGCCCAATCTACAAAAAGGGTGACAGGTTGGATTGCTGCAACTACCGCGCGATCACACTGCTGAGCGCCGCTTACAAGGTACTCTCCCAAATTATACGCCGCCGCCTGTCACCATTTTCAAGAGATTTCTTGGGCAATACTAGCAGGGTTCATATTCGCGATTCGGCAGGTTCAGGTGTGATCAGAAGAGTTGGGATAGACACGAGTATCAAGACAGCTTCTTGGCTTCACCGATGACATCGACCATGGCACGGAACTTTGAGACGAAGGCGGAAACGTACATCAGACTGAAGGCTGAAGCTAGGTGGATTGGACTTGCCATCAACGCATTAAACACAAAATACATGAAAGGAAGAGCTTCTAGGGAAGACAATGTTAGCCTCCCACCCCGAGTTCAGATTGACGGTGACGAAATCGAGGTGGTCGATGAGTTCGTGTATTTGGGCTCACTGGTGACCGTCGAAAATGATACCAGCAGAGAATTTCAAAGACGCATTATGGCAGGGAATCGTGCCTACTTTGGACTCCGGAGGACGCTCCGGTCGAATAAAATTCGCCACGAAGTTGACTATCTAAAAGACGCTGATTAGACCGGTGGTCGTCTACTGCCACGAGACCGTGACTATGCTCGTGGAGGACAAACGCGCCCTTGGATGACGGAACGTGGAGGAAGCGAATGAACCAAGAATAGCACTAGCTGTTGGAAGAATGTCGCACGACGACGCAGTGAAAATGGTTCTCGAAAGCGTCCCAACAGGAACAAGATGAAGAGGCACGCAGCGGGCAAGGTGGATCGACCAAGTAGAAGGTGACCTGCGGACCCTTCGCAGACTACGAGGCTGGCAAAGTCTGGCCATGGATCGAGTAGAGTGGAGACGACTTCTTCGGACAGCAGAGGACAACAAGGCCTTAGCCCGGTTACAAGCCATAAAATTGATCCAAGAACGAAAAACCGTGGAACTGTAATATTAGAATGAATTTGGAGTCTTAACATAAACATGGAACCGAATGACCATGGGACAGTCCTCCGTAAGATCCGTAAAAATGAACCTGGTTGGCCATTGGAACGTCCTCCAGAAGAACCTGATCATCCGTAAAAGTGGATCATCGATGAAACTGTGAAAAAACCGTGGTTTTTTTTCGAAATCTCTTGGAACTGCGATTTAAGATAGAATTTAGGGTCGTGACATAAACATGGATCCGGATGGCCATGAGACTGTCCTCCAAAAGATCCGGAACATCCGTAAATTTATCATACTGTGAAACTGATCCTAGAGCTCTGCAGTTCTTTTTTAAACACTGTGATATAAGAAACCTCTGGATCACTTTTACGGATGTTCCGTATCTTCCGGAGGACGGTCCTATGGCCATCCAGGTCCGTGTTTTTTTTTCTTTATTAAGGAGACTTTCAGCCCTGGGCTGGTTCGTCTCCGGTACGTGTTTATGTCATGACCCCGAATTCTTTCTTATATCGCAGTTCCACATGCTTTCGAAAAAACCGTAGAATTCTAGGATCAGTTTCGAGGGTTGACCATTTTTAAAGATCTTCTAGATCTTGCGGAGGATGGTCCCATGGCCTTC